GTAAATGTCATTAACCACATTTTTACATGTAAAAAAAGTGTGAAAAATTAATACATTGGGTTATTTACACATTTTATGTGTAAAAAAGTGTGACAAATTAATACATTGGGTTATTTTTGACATTCTGCATAGCAGTTTTAAAAATGATTGTCATAATACTGTTAGCTTTTACTGCAATAAAATACATATTGTTACCGGGAAACTGACGGAGGCCAAGCACAGAGAGATGGACACAGGTTTCTTCAGGAAGGAAGAGATCTTTATTCGATTCACCGACCGGGACTCAGAGGGACTTATGTCACCAAAAACAGCAAAGATCTGAGCACTGAATACATAGAGTACATTCCTTATATAGCACTGTAGCTCCTCCCATAATTAGCTACGCCCACACATACCCTTAACCTAATCAATGAATAGAGTCTAAACTCATCCATCCGGTCTAACCACGTGGCTCATCTGAAACAAAGGAGAGGGACGCGTAATTCCAGTTCCTGCATTCCTGCACATGCTCAGTGCAGTGATGACAGTATCTTAGCTACGTGTAACTAACTAACTGATACTACAAACACATGTACCTACATATGCCTTGTGGCAATCTTGGCCTGCTAAACTTTAATTTTACTGGAATTCCATCACAATATATTTGTGTCTAGAGATTTACAGCATCAAATAAAGAGCTTGCTATTTTTAATTTTACACATTGAAATTTGCCAGATTGGTTAGCTGGGCCCATATTGCCTTTGAGACGGTATGGCAGCCCAGGAATAAGAATTACACCCATCAAGGCACACCGTTTGCAAATGTAGACATCCCAGGTTATTCCACTTTGGGTTTGTCTGATCTTTTTTAGTAGTCACTTAGTCACAAACCCTGGCCAAAATTTGTGTTTATATTTGTTTTTTGCATTTTTCACACAAACACTATACTTTGATATCGTCATTTATGATTAACTGCTCTAAAACACTCTTATTTGTGTTCAGTAATGTGTTACTTGTACAACAGTACCCCCGTGTACAGGTTTTATGAGGTTTTGAAAAGTTACAGTGTCAAACTATTTCTGCCTGGGTTGTCAGGCACATTCCCCAATATATAATTAATAAAAATATATAATTTATAAATAATGAATAAAATACATTTAGAATCAAATGTTTGTGTGAGTTTACAGAGGAAACATTTTCCATTTTATTAATGACACGGAGGCTTCTATTATGCAATTTATTTCTTTATTTTCCTTCAACAGCAAAGAATGAGAGAAAAACATTTTGAACTCAAATAAATACATATACTGAACAAATGTAAAAATGCAACACTTTTGTTTTTGCCCCCATTTTTCATTAGATGAACTCAAAGATCAAAGACTTTCTTTTATGTACACAAGAGGCCAATTTCACTCAGATCTTGTTCACAAATCTGTCTAAATCTGTGTTAGTGAGCACTTTTCCTTTGCCAAATAATCCATCCATCTCCAGGTGTGGCATATCAAGATGCTGATCAGACAGCATGATTATTGCACAGGTGTGCATTAGAGATTAGCAGAGAGTATGTGTTTTCTTATAGCTGCATCCTTTGATTTTCCCTCCAACACCAACTCCATCAGATACATGACGCTTGAGAGGTATGACTGTTTTAGTGTTTTTGGTTGATAAGATTCTGTAATTAGACCCCATGAAATTGTCAGCACCAGCCCCACTGGGCTCTTAATCTGGCCCTGGTTGCTCGGTACAACTGTTCCTGTCAGAACAGTAAATGCCATTAACCACATTATGTGCGGATGAATACGTGATACCCCCCAGCGGGTGGGCTATTACCGTAGAGAAACCTTTGATGAATCTCCTGTAATAGTTAGAGAAACCAATAAACCTCTGTATAGCTTTTAACCCACTGGGTAATGGCCATTGTAGAATGGCCTCTAGTTTGTGTGGATCCATTTGGAAACCAGAGGCAGAAATGTTAAACCCCAAAATCTGAACCTCATGTTGATCAAATATGCATTTCTCAAGTTTACAATAAAGACCATTTTTTTAAGCAAAGTTTGTAAAACTTGTTTGACAGGATCATGATGAGTTTGGATGTCGGGGGAATAAATAAGGATATCATCAAGGTATACAAGCACAAAAGAGTAAATATAGTCTCTGAGTACATCATTAATGAAGTCTTGAAATACAGCTGGAGCATTACATAACCCGAAGGGCATAACAAGATATTCATAGTGCCCACTGCTAGTGTTAAAAGCCATCTTCCATTCATGATCCTCCCTAATTCTCACCAAATTGTACGTACTCCTAAGGTCAAGTTTAGCACCCTAGAGGCTATCAAACATTTCAGATATAAGGGGAATGGGATAGGCATTTTTGATTGTAATCTTGTTTAATACTTTGTTGTCTATGCAAGGTTGTAATTCTCCATCTTTCTTAGCTACAAAAAAGAACCCTGCACAAGCAGGCGAGGATGATTTACGTATATGGCCTTTACTTAAAGATTCCTTGAGGTGGTTTGCAGCCGGTGCAAGACAGATGTGTCCAAGTGAAGCTCTGCTGGGACCACGAACCCAATAGCTAACCTTAGCGCATAAACACTGACATGAGCTTGAAAATCCACAGGGGAGCCGACATAGATAAACGTGCTCCAAAGAAACAGCCTAAAAAGCTGGCGGAACAAGGTACCACAGTGTCGGATATGTTCGCAGCGTACCGCGCCATGCGATCAGGCAACCAAGATGGCTTACCTCACAGCCTGGGCATGGCGGCAACGGCGGAGGTTTCAGAGACCAATACTGCACAGATCTTGGCTAGTTTGGCGGAGGTACGCAGCTACCTGGCCATCAAGATCACGAGAAACACCAACGAGGTGAAGATGGAGATCCAGGCCTTGGGCATGAGAATGGCGGTGCTGGAACAGCGGGTGGAATCCACAGTTATGCCTCACAACACTGCTGCAGCACAAATCAACAAACAATCCTCTAGATTGGCGATAGTGGAGAATGCACTTTACGACATGGGAAATAGATCCAGGCGGAACAACGTTAGGCTTCGTGGCCTACCTGAGCAGGAAGGAGAGGGGTCGCTGTCATGCCAAAAGCATGAGTTGGTGTTTTATGTGTGTTGAGATATGTTAAGAGTTTTTTGTAAAGCTTGGGATGACATTTATTGTGGTCTTTGATCTTGCACCAGGCCTAGACTCCCCCCCCAGGGGTCTGCCCACTGAGAAACAAGTAGTTTAGTTATATAATGAGGGTGCTGGGCTATCCAGGAGATATTCATTTTTTTCTTTGGTCAGCAACTTCTAGGAGATCTATACCATCTAAGACTCCCAAAATAATTCTATATGGGGTAAATACATGTAAGGAATTTCTTGTGTTTTCTCCTATTTTATTTTATGTACTGTTTTACAGTTTGTTATCTGTATGTCATTTATTTCTGTATTTTCTACTCAGCACTTTGAATCTTTTTTGTCAGATTAAATGTTTATTTAATCAGCTTGTGTCTCTGTTCTCTAAGAGCTTCACTCTCCAGAGGAAAGCTCAGGTAAACACGTTACCAAAAAGGGTTAATTATATGTGTTTGATCAGTAAAAGTAGAACTGTGATTATATAATTCTCCTGTGTGTGGGGTAGTCTAAGACGCCCGGGTTTAAAGTCTTGGTGGTGGCAGTAAAGTGTGTACTAGGGGGTCAGTGTAGAAGGGATTGCAGGGGTTAATTGAGTGGTTGCTGGGACTAGCAACAGGTAACCAGGGGTCTGGTGTCATTAACCCTGTCACTTCCACACTCTCCCCACTGTCTCGGCTGGGCCTATAGCCCACGCTCATGACAGTCACTGACGGAGATGGTGACTGCAATTTTTAAGCCACTGATCCCCGAAGTACCGGACCACTAGTGGCACATCGAGAGAGCCCATAGGGCACTACGACAGAAGAGGGAAGAGGATAAGCACCCTAGGGACATTATTATTAAGTTCCTACACTTTCAGACAAAGGAAGCCTTCATGAAACGTAGTCGAGAGGGCCCAATTAAATATGGGGACGTGGAACTTGCATTATTCCAGGATTTGACGCCAGCGACTCTCCAGAAGCGAAGACTGTGACGTCCGGTGACAGAACTTCTGCAGAAGCATAGGGTGAGGTACACGTGGGGGTTCCCCTTCCAATTATTAGCGTTTCAGTCTGGGCGCACTAAAATCCTGCACACTGGCAGAATCCCTGTTGAGTTCCTGTGGGCCCTAGGGATCCAGGATCCCATCGAGATGGCGGAGCTCCCCCCGATGGTAAAGGGAACTTCAATTCCTCCCTCGAGAGTGGTATGCGGTGGGAGAACGAGGCCCATGGCAATCGGCCAACCTGGGTTTTCCTACGGATGGCGGAGAGGTGATCCCGTCCGGAGCGGCTGCAGGGGCGGGAATGTAAACAGTTCTTGGGACAGGTTGATTGAACGCAGCCGGGGGAGACTGGGGGCTGAAATCAGATGACAACGGGAGGGAAGATCCAGATCAGGGGGAACTACACCCCATGTTGGGCGGGTTAGCTGCCGCTAATTTTTGGTAGCGAGGTCTGAGAGAAGCGGAGGGGTTGGAGCCCATGGGCACTGCAATATCCCCCACTTTTGTTATTTGAGTGGGTTGTGGGAACTCTGCGGTATGTAGCCCTTAGCTCCGACAGACCCCCCCCCATTTGGGGGATGGGGAGGCGATTGAGGATTTATCTCTATCTCTTCCTATGTTTAGTAATGTCTGTTATTATGCTATGTTTCACACAGTATTTTTATGTGTTCATGAGTGATTTTCAATGAGTCTTAGCGGGAGGGGGAACCACTAGGAATGTATTATGGTCGCTGTGGGAGGGGGAGCCAGGAGGGTCCCGTCCCGGAGAGAGTCCTGGCCAGAAGGGAGGAGTGATGGGGCGGTGGTTATAATCCTTCGGAGTTAGCTTCTCTTCCAACTCCTTCGGAGTTAGCTTCTCTTCCAGTCCCGGATCCAATCGTGATGCACTGGGAGGACTCTGGAGGGCGTTGGATCCACCCGGGGTCGGATAATTGGGGACGGGCATGCCCTTTTAGGACACAGGGGACAAAGTGTGCCGTAGGCGGGACCGTATAGTTTTTTCCTCCCTCTTACTGATGTGTCTGCTAACATGCATAAATTATGGTATACAAGCTGCCTGAGCTCCACCTAGACTGTACAGTGATGTATGACTAGGGTCAGCAACTGTATCATCAGCTTAACATTGAGGGTTTAGTGCTTGGGATTGCCAGGCTGCGGGATGGCGGACTCTACTGCTGAACGTTACCTGAGACTCGTATCCTTACTTCCCACAAACACAAAGTTGTTGCTAGAACTGTTATATTTTCGTTAGGGGGGAAGAAAAAAAAAAAAAAAAAAAAGAAACAAATTGGCAATTGGTGTTTGTATTTCATACCTCTCCACATTCTGCAGAGAGGTTCCCTATGTCTTATTTACTGCCTACAGACCCACAGGTTAAAGTATTTATTCATATAACTTCAGTTGGCACTCAAGTAGTGCCCACATTGGCTGGTCCATGTACCCATCACTCCAGAGCTCTTTTGAAGTACTGAGGGAGATGGGACATTCACCCCTATCATGCCTGGCTAAGGGTAAGCGATTTCTGGACAAAGTTTACCACTTCTTTCTTCTTATCTATCTCAATCCTTCTATATTCTATCCTCTTTATACCCTTACCCTTCCCTTATCTCCTCTGGGGAGATATTCGGGGAAGACCCAGCTGTCTGGAATAACAGCAGACATGACAGAATGTTTAAATATAGAGGCACCCCACTGAATATGACATACCTGTAAAATGTTAAGGGACTAAAGTTTGCCCTTAGGGACCACACCAATAGCACCACATATGAATCAAGGGCCCTAAATAAGAGGAATGGAGTTGCCATCCTTGTTCATTGGAGATGCCCGATTCAGGTCAGCGGGGCCAGTTTCAGGACGCTATGTGCTAGTGTCAGGAACCTTACATTCACATATGATCCATATCCTCAATTAGTACGCACCTAACGACCCATCCAAAGAATATTGGGCGGACCTCACACACTGTCAATGTGCCCCCACACGGAATGGTGATAGTTGGGGGTGATTTCAATGCGGCTCCATCCCCAGCAGTAGATAGGGGACATTGCTACGGAGCAACTCGGTCTCACAGGAGAGGCGGACAAGACAAACTACTGCACACATTCATGCAACAGTCAGGCCTTATAGATATATGGAGAGAACAACACCCGGACGATAATGATTATACATTCTATTCACCGCCATATGACACATACGGCAGAATAGATCGGTTTCTGGTAAAAGTCCCAACTGTTCCCAGAGTCTCGGAGTCCAAAGTTGGATCTATAACTTGGTCGGACCATGCAGACGTGTCTATTACTTTAGATAAATTGAGCGCTGCGACGCCCTGGTCATTGACATAAACAGTTCTCTACTTCAGGACACAGAAATAGTTGAGACTGTTCGTAGAGAGTTGAATGAATATTTTGCCAAGGAGGCAGGATCGGGGTTATCGAAAGCCATAGAATGGGCGGCACATAAGACGGTCATTAGGGGTATATTGATTAGAGAAGCGACACTTAAAAAAACACTGAAAATCACAATTGCTGTCATCTCTGTTAGAGGCCTTAAGAACAGCGGAGCAGCGGCACAAGTCGGACTCTACACCTACTAACTTGCAGGCGGTACAGGAATTAAGGAACTCTATTCGCGATACGCTCCTCGATGACACCGCAAGAGCTATAGTGTGGTCAAAACTGACTTTTTTTGAAAAGGCCAACAAAATGGATACTCTGTTGGCAAGATCCCTTAGCCCACGGCAACGGAACACACATATCACGAAAAGCAAAAATACTGTGGGGGTCTACCAGACAAACCCCACAGAGATTGCAAAAGTATTTACGGACTTTTACACCAAACTTTATAACCACTCCATGGGTGAAGCTGCGAACCCTCAACAGGAAACGCAGAGGATACAAGAATTCCTCTCGCGGATACACCTTCATAAATTAAGAGAGGCTGACTCAGCAGATCTCGGTAATCAGATCTCGGTTGAGGAAATAGACGTAGCAATCTCGCCGTTGAAAAGCAATAAGGCACCTGGCCCAGACAGCTTCGACGGCAGTTATTACAAGATATTTATAGAGGAACTCCTGCCCCATCTTGAACTGTGGTTTAACGACCTCAGGGATGGGGGGACCCCAGATCAAGACATGTCTTTAGCGAATATAGTTCTACTGCCTAAACCTGGTAAGGATGACTCGATTTTGGAGAATTTTCCCCCAATTTCTTTAATCAACCACGACTCCAAAATTTTAGCAAAAGTATTAGCGAGAAGATTGAATCTGTTTCTCACCCACCGGGTCCACTCGGACCAGGTGGGCTTAGTGCCGGGTAGGCAGCTGTCCGAGAATACGAGACGCAACATTGATCTTATAGAGAGACTAACTAAGTTGAAAATCCCAACATTGTTCCTGTCACTAGATGCCGAAAAGGCGTTTGACAGAGTCAAATGGCCGTATCTGTTGGGGATAAAATCAGCCTGGGCCCTTTGTGGATGATGGATAATTGTCAACTCATTCAGTGCTCTGGAAATTGGAAATGAATAGCAGAGACGTGTTCAATAACCAATTCAAATTTTATTAATCCGTCAGTTATATTAATACCCTGTTTTCAAAGCAGGATAGAAGGGGGAAAAATGAGCATATGGGTGTGGCAATGACAGATTGTTTTTCACAAGTTATGAGCAGCTGTTTCTTATTGTAATTCTACGTTATATAACGCATGCATATTTGATCAAAACAAGATATTTACAAATACCAAAATCTTGGACAATTAACAAGAACATTTTGAAATCAGTATGGTCATTCTCGTAAATGATATTAGATAAATTCTTCCCAGAATCGAAGATACAATTCCAAATTTATTCTTGGTTCACATTAACCCTTTTATGAACAGTTAGAATAAATAGTGAAATGGATATTCATATCTATAGTATCTGTTTGAGATGTTGCATCACTTCGGTATGCCGGCCCAGTTTATCACGATCATCAAAGCTTTATACTCCAACGTCAAGGCGCAGGTCGGAATAATGAGGGCACAATCCATTCCCTTTCCACTGAGCAATGGCAGGAGACAGGGATGCCCTCTTTCACTGCTGTTTGTCCTATCATTAGAACCCCTCATGCAAATGATACGCACAACCACGGAGTTCAAGGGAATTACCGTGGGGGGACAAGAATACATTATATCGTGATTCACTGACGATGTATTATTGACATTGACAGACCCACAGGAATCCATGGCAGCACTAACGGGAATACTGATAGAATATGGAAAGGTGGCCTGATACAAGTTCAATCTACACAAATCAAGCGCACTCCCCGTAGGTATGAGTGACGAAAGTGTGGCATATATAGGGAAGACTTATCACGTCCATATAGCAAAAGATCACATCAAATACCTGGGGCTACCGAACCTACTACTACTATTATGTGGCAACCTGGCTGGCCCAAATATCCATACAGAGTGGTGTATCCTGGTTTTGTGCTGCCCTAGGCAGGACAAAACTCAGACACCCCCCTGCTCCCGCGCCACCCCCACCCAACCCTTCCCCCCACCCCACCTTCTAAATACACACACACAGTCAGACACACACAGACACACACACAGTCAGACACACACACACACACAGACACAAACACACAGTCAGACACACACACACAGTCAGACACAAACACACAGTCAGACACAAACACACACACACACACACAGTCAGACACACAGTCAGACACACACAAACACACACACACAGTCACACACACAATCACTCACATTACATTTTTTTTAAATTTACCTACCCCCCCAGCCTCCTTACCTTTGGGAATACCCTCTCTTTCTCCCTGATGGTCCAGTGGATGCCGGTCAAGCTGATGAGCTGGCTGATGGGCTGGCTGCTGGCGAGGGAGCACTTCCTCTGAGCTGACTGCTCAGCTCCCTCGCGCGCCGCAGAGTGAGGCTGGGAGCCGGGTTGATGACGTCATATTCCGGCTCCCAGCCTCACTCTGCGGCGCGCGAGGGAGCTGAGCAGACCGCTCAGAGGAAGAGTTCCCACGCCAGCCGCCCGCCCGTCCATCAGCCAGCACCGCCCAGCGCCCGGCATGTCTGTTAGCCGCGAGGCTAACAAGGCATTTGCCCTGGGCATTTGGGGGCGGCGTTTTTTCCCGCCCCCTGAAAAATGCCGCCCAAATACCTTGTTTACCTCGTGGCTAATACATCCCTGGGCATACACCCCCCGACGAGAGGAGGTGGTTGGACTCAATGGTGGGCCCAAATCTACCCCAGTTCCTCATATGGACCCCTAGGGAACATAGACCTTTAGATGAAAGTACCATACTAGGCAATACAAATTTCCCACAGGGCTTGGGATACGACTGCCCACAAATGCGGCCTGACCTCCGTCCCGTCACCAGGAAATATGAGAGGCCGCAGCAACATCTTCAGTGTGCGTCTCCTTGAAAGAACAGTCATATAAGACTCTGTTTCGATGGTATATCACCCCAGTAACGCTGCACCGAATGCACAAAAACCCAACAGACTTGTGCTGGAGGGGCTGTGGACATAAAGGTACGTATATCCATATGTGATGGGAATGCCCTGAGGTGCATCCAAAACCATGGACGATTGGACAAAAATGGAACAACGCCTAGTACAAAAAATAAACCTAGCCGCACGAAGAGCCCTAGCACAGGTGTGGTTACAAAGGGATACCCCTACAATAGCAAAGGTAAAACAAAAAATAAAAGACTTATTTAATGGACAAATTGACAGCACAGGTTAGAGGAACAGCGAAGAAATTTGAAAAGATAGTGGGCCCTTGGATTGATAGTATGGTGAACATTTAGGACAGGAGACCGGACTAAGACATAAAATCACATCACACAGGATGCTGAAGAAAAGCAGTAGGATGTTTAACCAGCGCTCTCCTTGGGGGACATAGTTACATAGCTGAAAAGAGACTTGCGTCCATCAAGTTCTGCCTTCCTCACATATATTTTTGCTGTTGATCCAAAAGAAGGCAAAAAAACCTAGTCTGAAGTGCTTCCAATTTTGCCACAAACTCTGAAAAAATTCCTTCTTGACCCCAAAATAGCAGTCAGATGTCTCCTTGGATCAAGCAGCTATAACCCCACTAATTAGAAATTATATCCCTGTATGTTATGTTTTTGCAAGTATTTATCCAATTGCAGTTTAAACATCTGTAATGACTGACAAAACCTCATGTCCTATGTATAGCCCTGTTTATGAATAGGTTTCCAGATAAAGGTTTGTACTGGCCTCGAATATATTTGTATAATGTTATCATATTCCCTCTCCGGCGCCGTTTTTCCAAACTAAACAGATTTAATTTTTTTTAACCTTTCTTCATAACTAAAATGCTCCATTCCTTTTATCAATTTTGTAGCTCGTCTCTGGACTTTTTCTAGTGCCATGATATCTTTCTTTAGAACAGGTGCCCAAAATTGCACAGCATATTCAAGGTGTGGTCTTACCAGCGATTTATAAAGAGGCAAAATTATATTTTCATCTCGAGAATTTATGCCCCTATTTATACATGACAAAACCTTACTGGCCTTAGCAACTGCAGATTGACATTGCATATTGCTGTCTAATTTGTTGTCTATAACAATTCCCAAATCCTTCTTGTGTGTGGTTATCCCTAGTTCACTACCATTTAGGGTGTAAATTGCTTGTGCATTCTTAACCCCGAAGTGCATAACTTTGCATTTCTCTACGTTAAATTTCATCTGCCATTTTAGTGCCCAGTCCCCCAATCTATCCAAATCCCTCTGCAGCAAAGCAATATCCTGATCACAATTTATTACTTTACAAAGTTTTGTCATCTGCAAA